AGTCAAAAACCCTACAATACATTTGTACATTACATTCTCTATCTCCAAAAAACAACCTCAGAGTTGTGATTATTGATTATACAAAACCTAAATCTTCTTCAGCTTCTACCCTTTTACTTGTCCTTCGACCCGATAAGCTAATAAGCAGAGGTGCGTCATGTGCTTCTGTCGCAGTTTTTTTTGTCGCCTCAGATCCTTGTTGGCGAAGAACATACAAAACCTCCTTCATGGTAGGTCTGTGACTAGGCAATGTGTTAGTACACATGAGACCAAGCTTGAACACTGTTGTCATCTCCTCTATCTTGGAAGCTTCTTTGATGTCTTCATCAAACGCCTCTACGACCGGTCGACCAGATTGGTAATGTCTCCATGACCAATCTGCTAAGTTTGTGTGCTCATCTCCGTTGTTTCCTTCTCTTCCAGTCACCAACTCTAGCAAAACTACCCCGAAGCTGTACACATCGATCTTCTCATCCACCTTTGATGTATATGCGTATTCTGCAACATAAAATGGTAATAATATACATAAGAGACCATATCTAATATCATCAGGAACATATCGGTCTATCTGAAGATTTGTTTTTTCCTTTTACGGGTATTACCTGGAGCAATGTAACCGAAGGATCCAGCAACAACTGACATGGTATGAGGTTGTTGGTTTTGCTTAATCAAAATTTTGGCCAACCCGAAATCTGCAATCTTGGCGTTGAATTCAAAATCAAGCAAGATGTTGCTTGACTTGACATCTCGGTGTATAATAGCGGGACTGCAATCGTGATGCATATAGCAAAGTCCTTGAGCTGCTCCAACCGCAATGTTCAACCTCTGTGGCCAACTCAGGTTATCAGCCTCTACAGTACCTCTCTTCTTCTTGCCATGTAGCCATTGGTCCAGACTGCGTTTCTCCATGTACTCATACACCAGAAGCTTTGAATCCTCCCTCGAGATACAACACAGTAGTTTCACGATATTCGCATGCCTGATCGTTCCCAGAATCTCAACTTCAGCAATGAACTCCTTCTCAAGTTTCTGGTCCACTTTCTTGTTGCCCCATATCCTCTTCACCGCCACATACTGTCCCGAGGATTCGGTGAATATCTTGTAAACTTTACCCGATCCGCCACTCCCGATCACATTGTGTTCCATCAGATTCGACAAGATGTCAGATTCCGCAAAATCTACTCTATGAAATGAAGTTAGTTTCCACGTCTCTAAACCTCTCCTTCTTCTTTGTTTCCTTGTGTGATCTCGAATCACAAAGAACGTAACAAGCAGAGTGATAGCGAGAAGCAGAACGGCGATGACTATAACCATGGCCAGGATTTTCCCCGGCAACCTTTTCGAGCTCCCGAGTACTTTCCGACAATCCGGTAACTTGAGAACCGGTTTGTCTGCACAGAGATTGGAGTTGTTCAAGAAACTATTCTCGTAACCAAGATTATCAAGCTGGTCTGGGATTTCTCCGGTGAGCCTGTTTGATGACAAGTTGAGTATCGTGAACTTCAGATTCCCGAACTCCGGAGGTATTTTGCCGGATAAATGGTTCTCCGATAGATCAAGATTGATCAACCGTGGCAACAATCCTAAAGCTCTCGGAATTTTCCCGGAAATCTTGTTCTTGGATAGACTTAGCGTTATCAACGACTTCCATGAGATGATTTCGTCTGGTAATTCGCCGGAGAGATTATTCGAATCAAGGAAGATCGATATGAGATTCGAAAGAGATGTCAATTCCTTAGGAATCACACCGGAGAACCGATTGTTTCCGGCCTTGAACTCAGCTAAAGAAGACCAAGTACCGATTTCCCGAGGAATCTCACCGGAAAACTCATTGTTTTGGATCTCGATCCTCGAAAGATTCCAAGCAACTTTCTCCGGTAATTTTCCGGTGAAGGAGTTGTTACTTACCATCAAACTATACAAATCTAAAGCAGTCCAGATCCGAGAAGGAAACTCACCGGAGAAGCGATTGTTCTGTAACTGAACCGTGAGGAGTGACCCACAATTCCCGAGAGACTCCGGGATTTCTCCGGTGAGATTGTTCGAGAATACAACAACTCCGAGAAGCTTCCCTCCCTTGCACAGATTCTCCGGTAATTTCCCGGTTAACTGATTCTCCGACACTTCGAACCTCTCTAACCTTGAATAAAACCCAAAATCCGCCGGTATTTCTCCGGTTAACTTGTTGGTGAAGACTTTAAACTCCTTCAATACCGATAATTTTCCGATAGCCGGTGGTATTTCTCCGGTGAACCCGTTGTTGAACAGGTTTAAAAACTGTAACTTCGTCAGATTTCCGATTGGTTCCGGAATCGAACCGGTTAAGTTGTTCGCCGACAGATCAAGCTGAACCAAATTCGTCGCCGAGATGGATTTAGGGATCTCTCCGATTAGGTCATTTGCGTAGAGATAAAGATCGGTGAGATTATTCAACCCGAATAACCGGTCTGGGATCCGACCCGATAACTTGTTGACCGATAAGTCAACGTGCTCGAGAGCAGTCGCGTTCTCGAAAACAACCGCCGGGATTTCTCCGATTAGATTCATCTCCTTCAAAAACAAGTACTTCATTTTCTTCAATTTCCCAAACTCCGTCGGAATCTTCGCCGGTATAAACTTGTCGTTGTACGCTAAGCGAAGCTCTTCGAGGTCCGACAAGTCTCCGATCTCCGACGGAAACGTACCGTCGTATTCGCTCTGGTATAGATTCAAAACCTTGAGCTTCGAAAGGAGACCGATATTCTTCGGGATATCGCCGGAGAAGCCGTTAGCCGAAAGGTCGAGATGTTCGAGTTCGCGTGAGAGACGGTCGATGTCGGAAGGAAGTGTTCCGTTGAAGCTGTTCTGTGAGATATCGAGATACTTAAGCTTCGTGCAGTTGTAAAGAACTGTCGGAAACTCACCGGGGAAGTAATTGTACGACAAATCGAGTGATTCGAGATTTGGGAAATCGCATATCGTCGTCGGAACTTCCACGGTGAAGTTCTGGTTGTAGAAATTGATCTCGGTGACGTTTCCGGCGAGGCAGGTGATCTCCGACCAATCGCACGGTGAAGATGTGTCGTTCCATAGGCGGAGAGACGATGGGTCTCCGAACACGCGTTTCAGGTTCAGAAGCGTTGACCGTTCGTCGAGCTGCGAAATGACGAGAAAGGACATTGAGATTAGAAAGAAGAAGAGAAGAGGTGGGAGACGAGATAAGGGTAGAAAGGTCATTTCGAAAATTATTAGTTGTTGAGGTTTTTGCCGGGAAATTACGGCAAAACAGAGTTTGACTAAAAACAGAGTTTAAGTGGTGAATGAGAACAAGAAAGAAATTTAAACAGGTTCGAAGAAGTTGCAGTCTTTATAGAAGAGATGTAGTAAAGTCATAGTGTATCGAAAAAGATGTTTGAATTTTGGGTACTCGATACGTTTGGTGATATAAAATATTATATGGGTTTTTTTTTTTCTTTTCTTTCTAGATTACGAATAGATCAACCAATTTGATGCGTGAAAGTTTCGTTAGAATCTGATTGAAGGCGTTTGATTTGACGATTAAATATTTGATTAATCGATTAAACAATTAATTACTAAGAGCCAGCTTAGTGATTTAATCAGCAGCCCTTGTAACTAACTTTTCCCTTTTGGTAATATAATTCAAACTTTATCAAAAAAAAACTTAGTGATTTAGGGATGCCACTTTTATCAAGCTATAAAACAAGGTTTTTCATTTTGTTTTCTCTTAATACTTTAATTACTCAACAACCCATTAGATTACTAATAATGTGTTACCAAAAATAAGTATATTCTCAATTAGACAATCTATACCAACTTGACAATTTAAAATCTACTTTTTATTAAAAATCTATGATGAGTTTTATTAGTTAATGGTTTATATTAATATTTTGTCGTTTTTTTATATTCGGGATTTAAATTTTATTTTAGTTCTTTTTTTTTAATGAATGTTTCAAAGTTTCTTATATTATACTATTTAATATTAGCTGAATAATTGAAAATATTATGTGCACATAGCAATTTACAAAATCCTCACTATAAAATAAAAATGAAAACTAAAACATTCAAGGGACAATTACAAAAATGCCACTTTTTGTATGCATATTTACAAGAATGCCACTTAGGGATGCTCATTTGCAAAAATGCCACTAATTATAGATTTATAAAGCATATATCTTAAAATTCTAAACCCTAAAAAATGTTTTGACCCCTAAAACCCCCTAAACCCTCATAACTAAACCCTAATAAAACATAATTAACCCAAACATAAATGATATAAAGAAAAAAATAATTTTGAAAAAGTGGTATTTTTGTAAAGATTTCAAAAGTGTGATATTTTTGTAAAGTGGTACTTGAAAATTGGCATTTTTTTAAATTACTCAACATTCAATCTGGCTAAACTGGTTACATCCAATTATTGACAAGGAGAAACAAAATGAAAAACTAAAATGGCACATGGCATTCAATTTGTGAGAAAACCAGTTAGTTATAAACTTATAACTTAGAGCATCCGTATCCATGAACTTTTGAGGGTATCATTAAATATAAAATTATTAAAAACACATTCTTTCTTCCTTTTATTTAACTTTATACCTTCTCTTTCATCTTTTTACTCAACTTTTATTAATTTTATACTCTCTTTAAATATAAAATTATTAAAAGCACACTCTTTCTCTCTTCAAAAATATTAACTATTTGATACTTTTGATATTCTCTCTCTCCAAAAATACACACTATCTCTTCTCTTTACTCAAATTTATTAATTTTATATTTCAATACACCCCATTATTTTAACCAAAAACATTCTTTTTCTTCATTTTACTCAAATTTTAATAATTTTATATTTAATGATACCCACCAAAATTCACCAATACGGATGCTCTTAGTATGATATCCGGTGCTTCTAGATCATCAAAAATTAATGTATGTGCTTTAAATTGCTAATATTCTCTAATCGAGACTATCTAGTGGAGTAGAGATCAATTCAAACACGTGAGCATTATAAAAATTTACGAATAACTAAATAGAACAACCCATTTGTCTAACATATACACTTTTTTTTTTGTCATCTAGATTTTATTAGAAACACTGGAATAATACAAGAGTGGAATACGTTTTTGAAATGCGTTTGTGAAATACTAAGCCGACGGACTACCAAATCCGCAGAGTCTAAGCCTTGCGAAAGGGAGACGTAGATAATACAGAAAAACATATCAAAGGGTTTAAAACTACTGGGAACGCAGTCCCGAGAAAGAACAAAAGCAACTACAAATTGATAAAGCTAGATCACACAAGCCCCACGAGCAGACTACCTAAACCCTCCAACCCAATCGCGAAAGCATAACGACGAGGCCAACGAGACCAAACAAACGAAATGCGGCTCCTACTATGGCGAATAAGACTACCTATCCAAATCTAAGAACGAAGGAAACTTAACCGGCAAGATGGATAATCCAGAAAAGACTGAATCTTCACACAAAACTCCCGGTAACGGCGATATCGAGGAGACCTCGACTTGAAGACGCCTAGAAAGACTCCTGTAAACAAACGACGATCTCGACCTGATCTTAATTGTAGTGACAAGAAACGAGCACACGCAGACCTGAGCATACCGGAACGGAAACCATAACGGCAAGGATCGAACCCGGAAAGAACGAAAGGAGCCTAAGGCATAAAGGCAGTCTACCAGCAAAACATGCAAAATCACAACCTAACCAAAGCAACTACTAATCCAAACTCAAACCACACGATCCAAAAAGCCTAAACCAGATCCAACGAAACTATCAGAGAAGAAGCAATAAGTACAAAACGCAAAGAAGGAAACCAGTTTCGAACATAGGGCCAACCAAACGGGACTAGCCCATGAGCCCAGTCCAAGAACACGAGGTCTCCATCCAACGGCACCACGGAGATCGCAGTGCTGGCATGAACCACCAACGCCTTCACCAAGAAGATCAGCCGAGCAACCGCAAAGCCTCGCTGCACCGTAACCTTTGCGCTTCCGAGCATGAACTTCACCCTCCGATACTCAAACCTAAACACATCGATGCAGAGATAGAAACCTGAAGCGAGCCAAGGAGGCCCTCTCGCGACGTAGGCGGCAAGCGCCGGAGCCGGAGAAGACCTCAGAGTTGAATCGTACTTGGAACTTCTCGTCGACCCACCCTTGGGAGAGAAATACAGAGCGCGTGATATACACTTATGTAGCAAAGAAAATTGTGCCGTTTGAAAAATCTTAAACGTTATAGATATCTTTGTAAATGTTTTTGAAAAATTTTAAAAAATATCATTTTTCAAGTACCACTTTACAAAAATATCACACTTTTGAAATCTTTAAAAAAATGCTATTTTTTCAAAATTATTTTTTCTATATATTATTTATGTTTGGGTTGATTATGTTCTATTAGGGTTTAGTTACGAGGGTTTAGGGGGTTTAGGAGTCAAAACATTTTTTAAAGGTTTAGAATTTTAAGATATAGGCTTTATAAATCTATATAATTAGTGGCATTTTTGCAAATGGATACTTCTAGGTGGCATTTTTGCAAATATGCACACAAAAAGTGGCATTTTTGTAATTGTCTCATGTTTTTTTACAGTTTGGATAAACAATAAAAATGGTTATTAATTATTTAATACTCCTATGAAAGTTGATAAAAAAAAATTATAAATTGAACTTATACATAGTTAAAACATGTATTTCACAAAATAGAGAATACTTATAGAGAGTTGAAGGTTCAACAAAAATCTTAGACTTTATAAGACTCATAGTAAAAGCCTGCATCGGAATATGTTTGCAGAAACCTTATTTAATTTGATGAGCAATTGAACTGTTTCCATGTTAATAGTAACTTTTAACTTTAAATTTTTGGGATTTTAAATAACTCAAAAGTCTTGTTGACCAAAACAAATTTAAAAGTCTTTATTAATTTATCATAGATATATTCCAATTAATAATGATCTTATTGGTAATGATTTATTAACTTGACCAACTTCAAATCACCATTATATATGTTTGGGTTTGGGCACAGATCGCACTAAGACTTGTATTCGTGGTGTACAATGGACATGGGAAACTAATAGGAAATTTCCGGCTTTCATGATTGTAATGATCATAACACTTTTGCACAATGGCTCCTTACATTCAAATTAGAGAAATTAAGAGGAATGATGATATATAGTTTTGGTTGTCCGTCCACGGTTTTCTTTATCTAGGGTTCTTTGCGATTTTAGATGCATTGTTATTATTCTTGCTTGCTCTCATTTCGCAAGGGTTTCTCTCTGGAAAACTCTTATGTTATGCGGTTTAATTTTCACGAACTTTTATAGCTCGTTCGCTTTGTATTCCAAATTAGTTTTTTAATAAAAATTTCATATGACAAAAGAAATTCAATGACAATGTAATCTATATGATTATGATATGTTACATATTTAAATTCAAATACACGCAAATATAACATTTTACCATTTTCAACTTCGTTTTTTTTGTGCAATAAAAAATGTTTATCCTCCTTCATTTTCATTTTCTACCTCTTCATAAGAATTAAATTAATTTCGCCATACTATTAATTTTGTAGATTTTTTCACTATTTATATTGTTTTGAAACATATACTATTTAATTTGTTTATAACTATTGTCTTTCTGTTTATACTATTACAGTGGTACGACTGAAGGACCAAATTTCCACCATCAAATCATTCAAAGGTAAGTTTTGTTTCTTTTGATAGCACAATTATAATGCGAATATAGAGAGATACGAAAATTCAATGGTAGAGGATCTGCCCATAATAAATTAAATGCGTATATGTACCTTAAAGTCCGTGATGCAAATCAAGTCGTAGGTTAGCGATTAACATTTGAGGAAGAAATTATTTTGTGGATATATGCCGAAGTTCAATTTTGATGAAAAGTAAAATTATCTGACCAATTCTATTTGATCAATTACAATGGTATCACAGGCCTAAGATACTGTAAAGATATCTCACCAATATAATACTATTATATTTAT